CATAATAGGTGGGCTTGGGAATAAGCCTGTATGTCTGACCTCCTGAACTCCGTAGTGCATGAGTCCACTGGTTTCAGCCCTTACGAATATCACTTAGGAAAAACCCCTATATCATTACGTAACTTGATCAGTTTTCCTGGATTTCTTGACATAAGAAGTAATCATGTGAACGTATATCTTGCGGAAGAAACCTTGAAAGGTGAAGCAGCTAGGCGTTCACTCTTGAACCCCGGCAATCGTTACGTTCCGTTCCTGGGGACTTATTTCTATTGAACGCTGACCCCGTATCATCGGTGTTGAAACAGGAAACGAAACAATTCCTTATTCTTTTTGAGGGTCCTTTGAGGGTCCTCACTTGAAACGCGGTACCTTTCATGCCAGCCATATGAAGCGCTACGTTAAAAATTTCAACCACACCGATCTTTCACCTTCCTGATCTTGGGTTGGATTCTTTGGGGACAGATGAGAAATTCGATGGAATGGTGGTTGAACATCACCCAGTATAATAGAATAACAACTTCCTGCTGTATCTGTTCCAAGCGCTGAGTTTTCTTGTTCATTTCCATAGAAACGCGCGTTCGATTTCTGTTGACTCGAAATAATTCACTGACATTTCATTTGATTGTTTGATGATAAAGCGTGACCTCGTGGCAGTTTTGAACTTAACAAAATTCTATGCAAATTCTGATTGGGTTTCTCGTCTGGCACAGGTATATGAGGATAAATCACCCTTTGTAATTTTCAAATGTTCTCGAAAATATCTTCAATGTTCCACAGTTATCAGATAATAACCGAATTCAATCGAATTTTGTCGAAAATCCCGCCAAGTTTATTGAAAAATTTCAGTTATTCTGAATTCCGTACTCTCTCAGCAAAACGACAATGGCCGTTTTGTTACATTATTGAAACAATCCAATCATTTCAATATTGATTTCCTGGTCAATGCCTGAACGACTGGTTTCTGATTCTGCTATCTGTTACTTTTTCTATGTTTTCCAATATGGTACTTGCTGAATTGTTGATTGTGGTCAAATTATATATACCAAGATGATTGTACATCGAGATTAGCCTCTTCTAGTTCTGAATAAATACGTTAGCATTGCTCTAATGACACCGATTATGCACATCATATTATACATGTGTGAAAGTGTGCCATGATTCTAAAATGGTTACAAATACCGATATAATTGTTGAGACATCAGCTGTATAACAAGGGTGGAAAGTGTCACTCTTCCTCCCAAGGATTAAGTTTACTGGCTGACGCTTAGTGAAGGGCAGTAGCTATTCGAGAGAGAAAAAGGCACTAAACCTCCATGTTTCAAATATTATTTCTCCGCATTCCTCGATCAACAAGTCATTTCTTCAATATTTATTCTCCTACTCCCAAATTACAATACGCGAATTGAATATCTGCTACTGATTCCCTACTTAGTGTTCATTTCAACACAGATTCATATTATCATACAGATTTCGACCACTGAAGACATGAACTTTTTATTATGATACGAGTTTTCAGCATATAGAAACTGAATATTTTGAATGTTCAAATCGAAATCTGACTGTATACCACCCATGCATTAATATATTATTCGAAATTCACATAACTCACCCAGAAAATAACAAATCATCAATTCTCAGCCATCTGCTATGTATCATATTAAGATGAATCAAAATATCCTCATAAGACCTATACCAGTTGATATTTCATCATACTATATTTCAGTGAAACGCAGAGTTTGAACAATGTCTGTTACGTTAACATGGGTATATCAAAATACTCATCAGAATAATGATCTTGAAAATCAATACAAACAAATAATATGATCAATAAGAACAATGTTATGAAGAACTTGCGTGACATCCATGGTTCAAACACAGGCTTGATGTCTAGCTCAGGTACACAGCTGCAGCTATCAGCCACAGAACAAGATACTAGTTATCGAAACTAGCCTCTAAGAACAACTTCAATATGAGCACTATTCATGCAAGTGCTCATAATTCAGGCTATTGAATTCCAGGACAGAAAAATCCAGTGAAAACTAAGAATCGGGCACGAATAATCTCGCCTACAAATCTGGCACAAGAATCTGGCACATGGCACAAACACCCTGATACATAGGAGATAGGTCTTTTACTCACTGGCTCCAGAGTTCAGGAAGTTCATAACTTCAACATTCCGAACTACGGATTCCATTTGGAATTTGACTGATACTGTTCTGAAAAGTATTTAACCAATTCACTGATCATTCAATTCCGCTATAGAAGCAATTCACCTTTCTTCCTTGGGAAGGGGTTTTTTGTACATGAGTTTCTGACCTTAATTTTCGACTATCATGTCAACGGCTTCTGAATTTCTCAAAAATAGACCGTTTCCAGAAAAATATAACTCGAACGATTCCCCAAGAATTTTTCATGAAAACTGGTATACGAGAGAGATATCATTTCTCTTTTCGAAAATTAATGGAAAAATCAATATTATTGGCCAACAGCCAGTCTACTGCTCTTTGCCAAAGACTTGAAGAGTGAGAAAGTAACAGCTTCCATATATCTTCTTGGATCCACAGAAGCATAAAAACACATATCAGACTAGCACAGGGATATAAACTTTCACGCGCACAAAAATGACAGAACTTCAGTGTCTTAGCACAATCTGGGTCACGCAGGCATCGATAGTCTGGATATGATAACAATTAATAGTATATTTCGAGATATATATCAACTCTGAATAAGCCTTCCAGACAATGATCACCTTCAGTGGCTTCAGACGTGCACCTTGCAGACACGGTGACGTCACTCTACTTGCAGCCGCAGAAAGATCAATATTCAACTGAAAACATCATCAACCAATCAGCCACTCCAAATGTACAATACGCAGGCACCATTGTCCCACTCTACATCACTATCGAGTGAAATATCTGACATTGCACACCTCTAACCACCGATCAGCTGATGAAAATACCGGAAGATAATTCAAACAAAAAGTCTAGGCTTTTATGAAATGAAAGTATGTAAGTTATTCAAAAAATAGGTATTTCTTAGTGTTGAGGTTCCTCATTTCGGAATAATAAATTAAGCGTTCGATGGTTTCTTCTTCTAACGAGATAGTCGCAGATTTGGAAATAAACAGACTGTAGTAGAAGGAATCGAATTATGGCTAGCAAAGTTCAGGCAAGTTAGTAATCTGGGCACACTAAACCTTAACAAAGGTGGCGTTATGAGATACCTGACCAGAAGTTCAATTCGATAGGCAATAATCTTTGAATCTTAGGTCTCCGCAGAATCATTGCATCAACTTTACAAAAACAGTACGATTGCTAAGAGTGGACGTTACAGTCCCTATTTATTCAAATATAGCTGAGGTTGTGAAAGCCGCATAGAGTTATTTCATTGATGACGTATCATGACGTTATCTCCACTTTTTCTCCCAAGGAAGAAAAAGAGAACGACTCCGTCCCCTATAATGAGGCCAAGAAATGTATACTGTAGATAGGTATAGGCGGAAAAAAGTTATTGTTTTATTTGAAAAACTTGACATTATAAATATCACGCATCTTATCATCAATTCATATTATAATTATTTTCTCTTGAAATTGATCGTTATGACGACACTGATATCTTCAGAATATATCTGCAGATGACATTTTTTTGACAAAAAAATCATAACGTTGATAAGATCAAGATATTGTCAATGATATCAAGAGGATAGGGGTCAAAGTTATGCTTCTGAGAATGTGATTATATACATGGCATTCTATTGAAAAATATGATAAAAATCATTTCTAGTTATGAAGATTGTTGCCTCATCATCATCATCAGCTTTCGACTTAAGAGTTATTGAATTCAGTTAGTCCAAGAAAAGAGCATAGAATCAACAGGAAGCCATTCTTCAGGAGCGCCAATTTAAAAAATCCAATGAAGCTACAATTTCAATAGTTGGCCAATCACCAATTTCTTGTTTTTTGAGCTTTCCGATTGGTGCTTTATAACTTTTTGGGTTAGGGCAGTATTTACCAAAATTGAAAGAATGCACCATACCTTGACTTTTCGTGAACACTCTCCCACAATACTGCTTTCCTATCTTCTTACCTTGATCGACGAAGAATTTCTTATTTCTCAATTTGGGATGTTTTGGCTTCTCACGTGGAAATGGCTGTTTCCGCGATACGTGGGAAACGGAAGAGTTGGAAAATATCGAATATTTTTGGCAAACAAATATTTTCCACAACCTCTCAGAGGTGAAAATCAGGATTTGTCATCACTAAACATGTACAAAGAACATATTGATATTTCATTGATACCTGAATATTTCGTTGCTAGAAGTATCTGCTGTCTGAACTATTACTTCTGGGCTGAAATCTTTGAATAATGGATATTTTTCAGTTCCGAGTACCTGCCTCAGTTATTTTCAGAAAATCTTCTCTAAGCTATTTATCGATTCATCGTGTCCGAAATCATGAAGTGAACTGATTTATTTTGGAAACAAAGGGAAGTATCAGCCTGTAACCCGTACCCCAGTTAAAAACCAATTGAGGGCTAATACTCTTCAAATCCGTTTTTGAATCGTTCATTCCATCAGAATTCGAAAATAAACTGAACTCATTATCATCACGGTGAAAGTAGCTATAATTCATTGAAGCAGATTATTCGTTTCATTTCTGTCTGTGGATTTGACTTGATATTTTGAAGCACTTCACCGAATTTTTCATTGATATTTCATCCAATACTCATGGTTTTGGAAATAAAACCAATTCAATTCGAAAACTTTTTTTTTTATGGAATATTATAATGATTGTATACCTTGCATAGGTGATTCATGAATGAAAGCGTCTACTTCTGAGCTAACAAACGCATCACCCCTTGAAAAAACGGCATCGCACGCGCAACATGATAAGAATTTACTATCGATTTTCGCTTTATTTCCCAGCCTCGACTGGAAAATATGAGAATCCTGTCCGCGACAACCTAATATTTCAGGTCTCCACCTCAGCGATCACACATACCCGTGACTCGGAGGCCGATCGCTAGGCTCATCTTGGGCTCGGTGTTAACCTGGCACTCGTATTGGCCCGTGTCTGACAAGTGAACGCCGCGTATCCGTAATCCCCAAAAATCCCCAGAGCTGTCGGTGTGCACCGATTCGAAGCGACGATCGCTGGAAAATGTGTGGCGTCCCGACGTCAGGATGTGCAAGTCTTTGCTCCTCATCCAGGACACCTGCAACAAACAATCGATAGTCAGTATCTGTGTCGCGCAGTTTGGATCTTTTCATTTTCTCATCCATATCTGACATGAAACAGGTTAATTGTTTTAACCAAAATTGTCATAGGTGATATAAATATTTGGTTGACCAGAATATCTCAGATTGTCTACCACAGTATTCATGAGAATGAGTTTTATTCACTGTTTGCTCAACTGCACTGAAGGCCCTTGAAGATCAACAATAGATGGATTCATGAAATCCTTCCGAAGGATAGTTACTATTACTAGCTTAATATCATCTGACAACTGCGAGACGGGTTGAAAAAATAGCAAACACTAATGAATACTTCTTGAAGGTTAATTTATTCCTTAGACAACATTTATATCAGAGGTATCGATTCCGTTGAACTCCTAGAAATAATGATTGTTGAAAATATGACATGGAGACATCAGAATGATCAAGTCTGCAGTGAACTCACTAATTGAAGATTTGCTGCAATATCTGTTTTTTGTTACCTATGCTTCTCTATACTTGCCTTTGTCAGATAATATTATAGTATCGGGTCAGGCATCCGCGAAAGAACGGGCCTTAATCGGAGAGAAATGGTTCACCAGATTGTAATCCAATCTCTCATTCAATTCGTCTTGTGGTGACAAGCTCAAAAAACGTTATCCTCACCCTTTCCTGCATGTACGCCTGATAGCTGAGTTATCTTTGTAGATAGAGTGTTGAGGTTTTCACATCACCGTCCTCCTTTTTTGTGAAACAAATATTGTCGCAAAAAAAAAAGCTTACAATTCTTCATGGTTTCAAGTCACAGGGTGATATATCCTCAATAGTTTTATATTCCGGGATGATCGCCATTTTATAGTGATTTGAGGGCACGTACGCTCTTATCAAATATAATCTCAACCCAAAACGTCCAAAACTGAGTGAAAATCTGATATTTTGTATATTAGATTAGATTTGGAATCGGGCTATCTGCCTCCACACTGCGACCTTTTCAGATCTATTGTGCCTGCCCTCAAAATGGATTAGAGTTCTTCGGCTAGCTCCGCCTTCTCTATGAGACTCCATAGGCTAGCTTTCAGATCTCCTGTGTATCTCTGGGCTTCTGGTTTTTCCTCACCCAGCGTAAGGAACCTTAGTCTTGACAAGCCCTCACAGTGGCAAAGTATGTGTACTGCTGTTTCTTTCTCTTCTTAACAGAACCTGCACAGCAGTTCTGCAGTCAGAACTATCGTACTCATGTGTTTGTTGAGCCTACAATGCCCTGTGAGAAGTCCCACTAGTATTCTAGTTGAACTTCGTTTCTGGATTAGTAGATATTCTGTGAATGTTGGCGATGGTTCTTTAATAAACTCTTTTGCCTGTCCCATTCCTGGCGAGTTGTTCCACCATTCTTGAGATTTAGTTTGCACCCATGATTTGATACTAGTTTTTTGTATAGCTTTCGCAATACCACATAAAGCTTCTGGACCATTATCTTGTATATACCTCCATTTCTCTTTTCCAAACCTTTCTCAATACAAATTGTCACTGATAAGCTAGTGAATTTTCCTTTTAGGTTCCCTGATAGAAAAATTACTCAAACGCAGTGACATTTTGGGGCAAATTATCTGATTTCTCCTCACTGTGAGTATATTGAAATAATATTGATATTTTCATTTCATAGAAACGAGGAGAGGAAATCCCAAAAAATCTGGAATAATCAATGTACCACCTCATCGATCAACCAACAGTCAGTATGAGATAAACTCATTCACATTATTCACAAAATACTCTGTGTGGTGCATATGAAAGGAATAAATTGATTTATTTCGAGGCATTTTCTGAAACACCCCAATTTTAATTCTCAATTCTCCACATTCATGAGTGGAGATGAATACACAGGGTGATCCACGTTTGAATTATGAAGTCCACGACAATTACATCAAATGGAACACAAATATATTATTCATTTTTCAGAATTTCTTTGGAGAGCTGAATCCAAGAATATAATATATATATAGGATTTATATACAGTTTGATTGTTGAATTGAGTGCATTTGTGAAGTACTGGATAATATATTCATTGGTAGCCAAATTATTCATTTTTCGAAAATATCTTTCAAAACAGGTTGATCCTTATTTGTCAAAGTGGGGATTGAATATACAGGGTGATCCAAGTTTGATTCTTGAAGTTTGCGTGATTTTTTTCAAACAACCTGGATATTATCGAATAATCATTGATTTCCTGAATCAATATGAGAAACTGGGTGCAGAAATATATCACACATGAATTTTGTATACAGTGCGTTCATTTAATCCAGTGCTCTCGTGGAATGGAGTCGAACTGTATACGAAATCTATGTGTGATATATTTTGGAATCAAGCTTTCCATGGAGATTCCAAATATAAATGATAAATAGGATATTCTGTTTGAAAAAGTTATCGTTTCGTCAGAACTCGAAACTGAATCACTCTGTCTCTTCATTTCTCATTTATGAGTGTGGAAAATTGGATATGGAAATCTACTTGTTTCAGGAGATACCATAGAAATTATAGTAGTTCAAGGTGATTCCAGAAATTCAATGATGAAAAGTATCTTCCATTCAATGAAATTGCTGCGGAAGTCAAAACTCGAACGTAGAATACCGTGTATATTCAGTTTCCACTCATGAATGTGAAGAATAAAAATCGTTCTGTTTCAGTGGATTTCTCAAAAATAGCAGTTTGACTAGAGATGGAGTTTAAGATGATGAATCATATAGTTTGATGATTTCTCATTCAAACAAGATGGCTGCAGATATGGAAATGAACAGACTCGAGTTCTCAAATCATGACTAGCGGAGTTCAGGCGAGTTAGTAATCTAGGTACAATGAACATCTGATCCTCAACAAAGTAGACGATATGAGGAGGTTGACCAGGCGTTGAGTGAAGAGTGATAACATCGATATACCTATTCACCTCAAGACTCTTTATTTTCCACTATCCTTCAATCGAAAGGAGTATTGAGAAATCAAAAATATACGGAATATGATGGCGCGAGTTAGCAGTTGAGGGTATAGTTGTTTATTATTTTATCATTGCGCTGCTCACTTCTCGTCGTACTAAAGATAATAGAAGGAACGAATTCTATACTCACTATTGAATTAATTATTATGAATGTCATTGATCTTCGTTATATTCAGAACTGATTAACATCTCAGCACGTACCACTTTATTGTTGAGCCTCTTAACAGTACAGGGCAACAGCAATGTTTGACCTTCAGTTGCATGAACTTCTCTCGTCATGATATCGTCAAACGTGGGTCCTGAATTGAGGTCCAAATTAATATTTTGCTTGTGATCCAGCAGATCTCCATTGTATCCTGAAATAGATGATTTATTATGAGATTATGTGGTTTTCCAATCAATGTTTTTAAAGTGATGTTGGCGAACGGCCAGCATTTCATTATACGTAGAATAAAATATGATGTTTTGTTTGTTTCATCTGGTTACGTTATGTGGAAATGAATAATTGACATGAACCATTTCAGTGAATCCACTGTGAAGCGATGGAACAGATCATCCAGAATTACTCTGATTGTGGAAGAATAATAGACATATTGTTCCATTGGAGTGTGGGATGTAGTACATTGTTTGACTGGAAAATCTCGAAGTTAGAGGGCAATGTAAAATATGCGAAGCGAACGCAAAATTCAAGTGGTTGATACACACCTCTCTTCAACTGGATTCGTAAGAACTCATTTTCTTCAAATAAAAAGTCATATCATGGTTATCAACGTCATATGGCCGATATGTAGCAAATAACGGACGAGATTGAAAAGTGTTATCCGAGGCACAGCTAAAGATTATAACAACCGAGTCCGCTATTTTTTCATCTGAATACCGTTGATTCGAAACAACAGTATGAGATTACGAACAAATCGTGCGGCAATGGCCGTTTGTAAAAAAACCGCGCTGAGTATACGAAGAAATGCCATATTCATCACGTCCAGTTGATTGTATTTCATTCGTTGTATTGTATTTATGCTTCTTGAATCCAAGGCAGACATCCACTGTCAGAAAAAGCTATCAGATAGGCGATCGCAAAAAAAATTGGAACAGTACAATTCAATAATTAAAACTATTCATTATTCAAGGAAGTGATTGTAGGATTTTTTCAACGACGAAGACGAATGTTTTCATCGATGTAGACATATATAAGTAGAGACATTTTTGCCAATTCTTCACAAATAATCGTACCCATCTACTGGTAGTTTCCTGAGTGAACTCAATATTGTGTATCACATCACATAATATTGTAAGCTCATTCCTTCACTTGAGCTATGGACAACCTGTGATTTCTATTTCGAAACTCTGGTTTCAAGAGTGTCTAATCTTTGGATCTATAGTGATATTTGTATTTGGAGAAAAATTGATTCTCAATAGGCCTTTTTCATTTTTGTTATCGCAGCATGTTTTGAAAATGATGAAATTCAGAATGATTCATCAAAAGAATGTATACCTTTCGTTGAACCATAGTCAACAAACAGTTTTGTAATCATTGCTCACCCGTTGTCTTCACAAAATTTGAACAAGTGAAACTCTTGAATTGAAGAAAATTCTCACGAATGGAGATCTTCTCCTTATATACAGTGTGTCCATTTAGTGCATTCAACAATACTGGGTATTTAATTGAAGCGAGACGACTAGGAGACGAGCTTTTTCAATTGGAACACTCAGTATCGTTTATTCGGGACTTATTCCGCCAAGGTTAACCTTCACTTCGGTATGAAAATGTTTTGAAGTGGTTGCGATGTTGTCAAGTTTTAATTGATAAATCTATTTTTACCACTATTAAAGAGTCATGTTGGATTAGACATTTAGTCAAATTTAGGAAATATTTTTGGCACACAGTTGTAGCAAGTTCTGACGTATACCAATCCAGCAATCGTGCAACATGTTCTCCAACGAGGTGCTCAATTTTGTATTGAGAATTTTGCAAGATTCAGATGACATTCATTAACCTTTTTCAAATTGTGAAACCCTGTATTTTGATTCACGGATGTATTCCAACATCTCTCGCCTTCTTATCGCTGAAAATAAATCGAAATCGGTTGCGGTGTTGTCAAATTATGGACAATTTCCTTAGTTTTACTACTATTTCGTAATCTGTACGTCATAGTGCTTCCATTTATTTGTATTGTGGAAATATTGCGTTGCTACCTCGGTTGCTACGGTATAATGAGATTTCTCCATTCACCATCCATATATTTTTCAACAATAGGAACATGTACAGGCTCTTCAACTCGCTCTTCAAATTTGAATTCAGAACAGAGTGCTAAAATGCTACTTTTACAAATCTTTTGTAGACTATGAATTGATTTTTCGAAATACTCTTCCATTATTTGTTCAATAACCCGCGTAGTGCAGAAATATTGTTTGTATGATTACTTAGAGTTTGCCTCTTCCAAGTTGAATGGAGATTTGTATTGTGAAGATAACGACAATGAAAGTGGTCTGAATTTGAAAAAAATATTCCTCATTCTTGCAATCCAAATCTCTATTGTTTGTATTGTAGAAGTTGCCGAATAATACATATTATATGTCGAGATGTTTTTATTTGAAGTATCCCAAATAATGATGTTTGAGGTTGAGATTGAAGAAAAACAAGTTATTGAGGAATTGAAGTGAAAAATTCATTACAAAAATTTATCGAAATAGCTTCCATCCTGATTGATGTAAGCCTCAAAGTCGCATTCTGAAATTTTTCCTCACGTTGAACAACATGGTCGGTGTAATACTTCGAAAGGCATCTCGAATGTTTTTTTCCATTTCATCAATGGTGGTAGCAGGTATGAAATGAACCATATATTCCACGTGACCCCATAAACAGAGTCCATATACTGGTCGGGTCGGAAGATCTCGCTGGCCATTGGATTGTTCCTCCCCGACCTATCCATTCTTGAGGAAAATATTTTTCAAGAAGTTTTCGCATTTCTCTATGATAGTATGCAGGTGCACCATCCAATCGAAAATACATGTCATGTTGAATCACCAGTGGAATATGCTGAAGTAAGTTGGGCAGCTCATCTTGTAGGAATCGTGAAAATGTCTTCCCGATTGAATGCTGCTCAGAGGAAAACGGCTCAATAACCTAATCATGGAATTCACCTCCACAAACATTGAGCGACCACCTATGTTGGTAGTTGAGAACTGGAACTGCATGCGGATTCTCAGTAAGTAGCATAATAGTAGAGATTATGACGATTATCAAAACCATTTCTGTGGAATGTTGATTCCTCACTTAACAGCTCATTTTTGAAAAATTAAGAGTTTTTCTCCTATTTTGTTCCGTGCCCCTTGACAGAATGTAACTGGTCTTCCAGAATCATTTTCTGTAGGTTTTTGGTTGAGTTGAAGATGGTATGGATGGCATTTGTGCTTTTTGAGGGTTTCCGCTACTGATGATTTCTCAATCGTATTTCTGAATCTGAATTTTTACTAATTTCTGTATCACTCAATGTCGGATAATCCGTAACTGATAAAGCGATTGTAAATTCATTTTCCTTTGTCAAATCATCTTCTTTCTTTGTAGATTTTTCATAATCCACACCTCGTGTGCGCTCGAATCTATCTTTCAATCTCCTGAAGCATATTTCTTGAGGGCATCTTCTCTGAGGAAAGTTCTAGGCATATATTCAAGAGGTTAAAAAAAAAATCACCATGGCATTCCTCTGAAGTGCACATCATGCTTATCAATTCTACCTGAGGATAATTCATTTCAAACTCCCAAGATCAACAACTGAATTTTTGGAACTGAATTGAAGAAAAGTGTCAACACAACATTTTTTGTTAAATCTCATAACTGAGAGATCTAGGATGAACAGAGATGCCCCAATTGTCAGCAGAAGCGAGACAGTACTGTTACGACCCACCAGCAGTGGGACTCTGTAACTCAAAGCGAAAGCGAAAGCATGCGTAATCGACTGCTTTTGCAGTTTCGGTACTCTGTAGCAATATTCGGATGAGGTCGGAGACGCCGAACGTGAGTTCGTAAGCGAAGCAGAAGCGAAGGATTTTGGTTGTCGCTTTCTGCGATTCTCAACGATTGAGGTTATAGGTATTGGTTTTTGTCTGAGGTTTTTGTTGTTGTTCCTAGTTCGAACTTTGTGTTGATTTGAGAAAAATAATAGATTAATAAATGAGGAATGAACCCAAACATGGATAACAAAGCGAGCAAAAACACAACTCAGTCAGTGGGACAGATTCCTCAGTTTTACGAACAAAATCCTAAAGATATTCCAGAGAGATGGAAGTTCCCTTTGGTAGGATTAAGGTAGGGGATGAAATAACGTGAGACGTGTGATGAAAACATACAGCTCATTTGGTAGTTGAAAAATAAACTGAAAACTGTCATTAGTGCTGTTGAATAGGGTCTGGAATAATTCATATTCATTCGAATTATCCTTCTCTTTTAGATTCCTGATACATCAAAACAGGCAGATATAAGTAGCTTCTCCAAAAAATGAAATGTGGCATTACTGAATGTTGTCTCACTGAATCCTTGTTAAGAAAAATATGTCTTTGGTGTGAGTCCATTGAAGAAGACAATAATAGGTAAATTAAAGAATCCCACTAATATAATATGCCGATACCTACAACAGTGAAACATAACAGAAAGCCTGGAACGTTCAAATTTGAAAAATTTGCATAATGAGTGCATTGGAAGGGAAAATAATTTGGATAGCAAAAACCTTGGAGACACCCAAGAAGAACTGTGTAATATTACTGTGTACCAATAGGGGAGAATCAAGAGTAAATTCCATGAAACAGGATTAACTGAACATTATTTACTATGTTGAACAAGAATAAGAACGGATTCTACTTTCAATACATTAATAATTCCATCCAAAATTCTAAAGTGAACTGTAAGAAAAAGTGCATCTGTATAAATGCACTGTCCACATATAGCTGCCTTGCAGAAGGCGATTCAAGGAATTATATGTGCTCATCATCTTGTTTAATTTGCAACATAGAGAAGCAAGTTCTGATAGGTATTACATTATAGTATGTAAATAATAATATACTGAGTGTTAGATTATAGAATGATATGTCCATTTCCATTATAAATATAAGCAGTTACATATCTTACAATATTATTATTATTCTCAGATCATTTGCCTTTACTAGTTGCATATGAATAGAAAGCTATACCTGAGATATACCTAGTGAGAATATAAATACCAATTTTTTTTATGAACAAAGTAGGTAGGTACATATTTTCCAATTAGCTGCTCTGTGCAGAATAAGTTCTTGTTTGGCTGATTACTATTTTTGTTGGCCTTGATGTCAATATCTGTTTGTAGTCAATACATTCATTCCA